CTTTAATTTGCCTCTCACCATCTGAATATCTCTGGTGTTAGGTGGCCATGATGTCTGTGACTGTGGTTTGTCCTTCCTGCAAGTCTATGTGTCAGTACTCCTGAGAGACCAGTCCTCTTCAGGAGGAATTTGGGTATGGAGAGCTGTGACACAGGGTCAGCTCTGAGGCACAGACCTTTTGTCTCCAGCTGTTCCTTGGTTCTTGTGTCCTTATGACTTTGGGCTGGTCCCTTTGGGCCAGGAATTTGAGCAGAAGTAGCAGTGTTACCTGTGCTCACAGGTGTGCCAGCACTCCTGGGAGACCAGCTCTCTCCCGGCCGTATTTGGGTATGGAGCACTGTGGTACAGGATCAGCTCCAGGCACAGAGAGAAACTGGAAGGATCCTGTCCCAGGCTGATCCTCAGTTCCTGTGTCCTGAGATCTCTGGACAGGTCCCTCAGAGCAGAAGTGGTGGTCTTACTTGTGCTCACAGATATGCCAGCACTCCTAGGAGACAACAGAAAAACATCAATGAATGCAACCATCCCTGATTCCAGTAAATACATATAAAATTATTATAAATCTTGAGGATTGTTTTTATACTGTTCATTTACATCCTGGTAAAGGTGGTTTACATTCAGTGAATTTGCTTTTAATTTTTAAAAGCCCATAAAACAATATCTTTATAAAGGTTTGCCTCAAGGAATGGTTGATAGCCTTACATTATATAAAAACCTTGTTGTTGCTTTAATACAAAAAGAGTTTGAATCTTTCAGTGTATATTATTCATTGTATATTTTATTAGCTGATCTCTCTGAAGGAGTTTTTCTACAAGCCTTTGCTCTCATATAACAAGCTTTTAAATTTTGGGGGGAGTGTTTGTTGCTCCAGAAAAGATTCAAAGACAATATTCTTTCAATATTCGAGACCTCAGTTATATCCTAAACAGATTGTGGCACAGAAAATTCCAATAAGAATAGATAGTTGGGGCTAGAGAGATGGCTCAGCCGTTAAAGGCTAGGCTCACAACCATCTGTAATGGGATCTAGTGCCCTCTTCTGGCTTACAGATGTACATACAAAAAATGATTTACTTTTCTTACAGTTTTCTTTACAGATTTACAGTTTTCTTTTTTTTTCTTTTTCTTTTTTTGTTTTTCTTTTGGGGGGGTTGTTTTGTTTTGTTTTGTTTTTTCTCATCGTGAGTTTTATTAAATAGTATTTAATGTAAAATGCTTCTGAGGATTTTCTATCTTGAGACATAAAAGAACATAAACAAAATGCTTTAAATTCAAGTCACTCTTATTCTAAAAAGAATTTTAATTCATTCCACTTAAAAAATAAAAGTAGTCTCCTCACCCCCCAGAATGAGTACATTGACCACATATTCACATACAGAAGACATACATTCATTCAATTGTTTACAAGATTTATTACCATATAACCCAGCTACATTCAAGTGAAGTATATGAACTTATTTATTTGTATATATTTGGAACTTCTGTATCTCATCCCTTTTTAAACCACCAAGATAATATAATGTGCCTATTCTCTAGAAGTCAGTTTATACAAGATGATTTAAGGTTAGACGTTTCTTTAGAAGAATTACATTAACTATTTATATAATAAGGGTCAAGTACTTCTTCTAAACACAAGCTTGAAGCTACAGCTTACTACCTTAAGTTACAGCATATCCAATGTTTGAGATTTTTATTTAGCAGGCTGTTTAGTTTTTGAATAATTTCAAATTTTTCAAACAATTATTTGTGCATCAAGGAGAAAAAACACCAAGGAGAATGATGTCCTTTTTTAAATATAAGATGAAATTACAATAGTCATCTCAATCTTTCTTCCAAACCTCATCATTTGTAAACACCATTTACTTACTACGCATGTTCAATCTTTTGAGTTTTCTTGGTGAAATCAGCAAATACATTGGACATAAGAATGAAAACACATGGTGGCTCACAACCACCTGTAATGGGATCTAGTGCCCTCTTCTGGCTTACAGGTGAACATACAAAAAAATGATTTACTTTTAACAATTTTCAAAAGTTGTTAAGAGATATTAATTGGCTAAAACCTCATCTTAAGCTTACCATAAGAGAATTTGAACCTCTGTTTGATATTCTCAAGAGGGATGCAAGTCCTAATTCCCCTCGACAATTAACTAATAAAAGAGGAATAGCTTTATAGAAAGTAGAGTAAGCTGTTAGTTATCAACAGATAAATTAGATAGACTATGATCAATTGTTGGCTCTTTGTGTTATTGCTACTCATGTGATCATACCAGCCCTTTGACAAAAGAAACCATTAATGTAGATTCATCATTCTTCATTTACAAATAAAGTTTGAACATCCTATTATGAAAATGTTGCTGTGTTGATACAAAATTGTAAGATAGAATCCTGAAAGTATTTCAAATGAAATGTTTATTCCTTATTCCAAACAATTAAATTGGTTATTGGAGAATAATGATATTTGGCCTATTACGTGGCAAACTTTTTAGACAAATTTGATAATCATTATCCAAAAGACAAGTTGTTACAGTTTTTCTCTATGCATGATTTTGTATTTTCTATAAATCTACACATACAGCCGATAAAAAAGATGCTTACTATATTTACAGACAATTCACCTATTGAGAAGACAGTATATGTAATTAGATCCTACATATTCATTTTCTTGAGTTTCACCCTGTTTCAGCATAAATAATTGAATTACATGCTGTAGCCACTGTTTAAAATGCCAAAAAAAAATCAAGCTTTTAATTTGTATACTCATAGCTGGTATGTAGCTCATGGTTTATAGTTGTTTAAAATTGTTCCTTTTTTAGATATTGCTACTTCCCAAATTTTACAGTTATTTACACAAATACAGTTTAATTTAAAAAACATGTACTGTTCCTTAACTTTGTAAGACATTTAAGAGCTCATATTAGATTGCCTGGACGCCAGGACAACGCCATAACAGATTTGTATACCAGACAGATTATAGGCCTTACAAAACAATTGGCCATACAATCTTATGCATTACATCATCAAAATAGTAATAGCTTGAGACAATAATTTGGTATTTCTAGAGAGTGTACAAGTCAAAATTGCAAACACTTGTTCTCAGTATCCTCAATTTTTTCATAATGGTGTTAAGCCTTTAGTACTTACACGTAATCAATTATGGCAAATAGGTGTTACTTGTTTTTTGATTTTAGAAAATTAAAATATGTACATGTGGCTTGACACCTTTTAGGTTTTCTAGTTACAACTGCTTTAACAAGAGAAACAATTAAAATGTAATTAGTTATTGCTTACATTATTTTTCTATGCTTGGTGTTCCATATCAGATTAGAGACAATGAAACTGAGCTATTACACTCAGACATTTGAGATGTTTTGTTGACAATTTAATATTACTCATATTACTGAGATTCCTTATTTTCCTCAAAGACAAGAAATTGTAAATAGATATTATGAAACTTTAAAATAATACCTTCATAACTCTCTGAGTGTGAGAAGAGCAGCTACTGGTGCTTCTGCCCTGGTTTTACAAGGAACTCTGAAATATTGACTTTTAATATCTAATAAAAGGGAGAATTATACCCTCCAAGGTCACCAAAAGCAATACCTTGATTTTGTCTTATTTGTTTTAAATTTTTTGCAAAATGATGCTAAAGGTCAGTCTGCAACAGATAACCACTGGCATCCAGTCACTTCCAGCTCATTTGCCAGGGTCAAATGGAGAGACCCCCTAAATAATACATGGAATGGTCCCGACCCTGTTTTAATTTAGGGTCATGGCTCGGTCTGTATTTTTTCAGAAAAAGAAAATGGAGCCTGATGGCTACCTGAAAAATTAGTCCGTCAAGTGGACACAGATCTTGAGCCTAATAATTAAGATTCTAATGATGAAGATGGCTTTAAATCCTTATCAGCCAGCTGAGTTAACCTGGCATATAGTCTCCACTCTTACTGGAGAATGTTTTTTATCAATACTTAAAGCCACCACTATATACCTGGTGGCCAGACTTTGTGTCTGATCTCTGCCAATCAACAGCTGGATTAGATACTGAAACATTCACACTTACAACTTTATTTTCTACACTGCTTGGATAATCCTGATGCTTTTAACCTTTGAACCTTGTATCTTAAACAGATTGGTTGCCTTCACACAGGATCACTCTCAACAAGCTCAGCTATTCACCATGGCAGTTATCCATTGCTACATGCTCACAGGTCCTTTGGTCTAAATATGGCTTTGGTCTGCATGGCCTAGATGGCCAGTTAGTCAAACATGGGTAAGAGTGTTCTTGAGCTCTTATAGACCTAAGACAGAGGCATACATCAATAATGCTATGTATGTTTTCCTCCATGATGGGTAATAAGGAGCAATATAGATGCCAACCTAAGCCAGGCACGGTCGCCCAGCCACTTTTTACCCTTTTTACCCTAGACGGGATGAAATCTTGTGCCCCATCCAGCTGCTGACACTGTTCATCTTAAAAAACTAAAAAGGGGGAATTGTGCCCTCCCCCCAGCCTCAAGCAGGCCTGAAAGACCTTGTTTACCACAATACAATAGGACCTAGGTGGGGTTACCCACCTTGGCTGCACATACAGCCTGCTACATGAACTTAGAAGAATAATTGCCCACTGAGCTTGCCTTGAGATATCTCCGGCTGTGACAAAGGATGGGTTCCCCCACACATCTCTGGCTAAAGCAAGAAGGGGTTTGGTGGGGCTTTACCTTTAAATTGAGAACGGAACATTAAGCTTCGAGCCTTTATCAGAATACTTTGTCTTGGCTTCATCTTTTCTTGCCCTCCATCCCTTTCTTCATTTCCAGCCCCCCTTTCAGGAGAACCCAGTGGTCTGTGGCCACAGGTGGCTACAATCCTCCTGCCACCTCTGCTCCCACCTTCGTCAGACCTGCTGGGCCTGAGCCATACAACCTGCCTTTATCCACCTTCAAAAGACCCATAGCCTATCACAGACTCACCAATATGTAAAAGTCCAAAGTTCAAACTCTGTCCTGAGATTCATGCAATCTCTTAACTGTAGTCCCCTATAAAATGAAAATAAAATCAGATAAAATACTTCGCATAGTCTATCACAGTCTCAACAATGTTTAAAAGTAAAAACTTTCAAAGTCTGTTGTAAGATTCATTCAGTCTCTTAACTGTAATCCATTATAAAATGAAAGTAAAATCACAGATCCTGTACTTCTAACATATAATGGCACAGGATATACATTTGTGTTCTAAACTATAGGGATGGGAGAAAGTACAGAAGTAGTGAACCGAAGCAAGACCAAAAAACCAGCTGGGCAAACTCTACACTCTGCATCTCCATGCCTGATGTTCTTCAGATCTCCAACTCTTTTCAGCTTTGGTGATGGCAACACACTTGTTTCTCTGGAGCTAGTTCCACCCCGTGTTGGTGGCTTTCCTCAGCAGGTGTCCCATGGCCCTGGCAGCTCTAGTGTCCTAGGGTGTCCAACATAATCCAGGCTTCGCCTTCACAACTTTACCCAGTGGCCTCTCTGGGCCTGCCTGCAGGAATACCCTTGCCACATGCCTGGCTTTGGCAACTTTCCTAAGTAGCAGGAGGGAGTTTTATAATCCCATATACACATTGGCTTCTCTGGGACGTCATGCAGGGACAACCCTGACATATTCCATGCATCCATGGCTTTACTTAGTCACAGAGAGATGTATAGACTTGACTCTAAATCCAGAGCTGCATGGCTGAAGTGAGGCTGATGCTGGGCTGGAGCATGGCCCACTTGTCTTATAACATCTTCATTAGGTTTCGCTTTTTCCATAATTTCCTTCCCTCTCTGAGCTTGTTTGTCCTGGAACTTACTCTATAAACTGTCCTTGACCTCAGAGATCTGCATGACTCTGTCTCATGAGTACTGCAGTTGCTCAAAGGAGTGTACCACCATCCCTGGACCTAAGCTTTTCTTTATCTGGAATTAGCTTTGTAGACAAGGCAGGCCTTGAATTCATAAATGTGGTTGCTTCCATCTCCGATGTTCTGGGATTGAAGGTACATACCAACATACGTGGACTTAAGCTTTTCTTTAATTTTTTTCAAGGATGAAAGTTTAACTGAGTGGAATCTTGCCCTGAGGTCACCACTCTCTTAATTCCATTTTATATCTTTAATCAGGTTATCTCTTTTAACACAGAAATTAGCTCCATTCTATTTCCTGGCATCCCTTTAATATTTGAATCATACATTTTGTGCTTTCCTTGTGAAGTTTTGTCTATTTCATCAGAATATTATTCATAAGAGGGAACTATAGGATAGAGTTTATACTGGGCTCTTTTGAGATTTCCATGCCAGTGCAATTTATCTAAATCTTTTCACCTTATGCTGTAGGAATTTCAAGTCTCAAGAATCTCAGGTTTCGGTAAACTCAAAAATTAACTGCCCAGGACACATCCTTGGAGAAGCACATTCCAAAGACTAAGACATTCCAGAGGAAGGGCCCCAAGATAAGAGGTAATCAGGAAGCTGGACCCTTAATGTAATCCACCTGGGCAAACAGAAGCCTCTTAGCTAACACTCATTGTTATAAAGATAATGTGATAATCTGAGTTACCTAGAAACCGGGCCTGGGAACAGCGGTTAATGTCAACCTTTGTGGTTATTGTTTAAAGAGATGATTGTAGAACTGCCCTCATAAACTCTGTGGAAATGGTATAAAGACTGCCCTTAGCTTTGGCTTGGGGTTCCTCTTGCCAGAGTGCAAGGGAACCCTGGTGCACCGGTTATCAATAAACCTCATGTTTTTGCAGTGAATCCCCTGTCCGTGAGTGTTTCTGCGGGTGCACATCCCCCTGGTTTGGATCTTAGAGTCCAACAATGCCTCATACAGACACTTTGGACCAGAGCAAAAGTCAGCCACATTCTTTGCTAAAATATCCCAAGAATGGTGTCTAGGTAACATGCAGGGTTTTATTGCTGTAAAGGCACACCATGACCATGGCAACTCTTCTACAGGAAAGCATTTAATTGGAGATGGCTTGCAATTTCATAGGTTTAGTCCTTTGTCATTATGGTGGGAAGAATGGCAGTGTACATGAAGTCATGGTGCAGAAGGAGCCCATAATTCTACTTCTTGATCTGATGGCAGCAGAAGACTGTTGCCACACTGGGCATAGCTTGATCCTGTATGACTTCAAAGCCTAACTACATAGTGACAACCTTTCTCCAACAAGGCCACACTTACTCCCTTTAGATAAGCATTCAAACACAAGAGTCTATGGAGGCCGTACCTATTCAAACCACCACAATAAGTATGTATTATTTGACATTCCATGCTTCTTCATGTCCCAGTTATACATTTGGCATTTCATCTTGAAAAATTACCTCCTAACAAAATCATCTAGAGATGTTAGATAATGTAAGAAGTGCAATTTATTTTTTGAAAGCATAGCTTGCTTACTTGTTGGGGGGTATGTGTGTATGCATGCCTGTGTGTATCCATGTGTGTGTGTGTGTGTGTGTGTGTGTGTGTGTGTGTGTGTAATGTGATTATGGATTTGTAAGCCATGACAAATATGTATAGACTGGAAGAGAAACTTGAGGGGTCTTCTTTTGGCTCTCTCTATATGGTGACCAAGGTGAGGTTGCCAGCCATGCACACACAGACTGTTTTCCCACTAGTGCTCAAAGAAAACTAATAGAAACAGTACATCAGTAAAATGTCTCTTTTCCAGATTGTGAACATATTGTCATCTAGGGATAGAGAAGTACAATTTGAATAATAAATTCTTTTTGAAAATGAAAATATTTATCATGTAGTTAACTTTTAGATCCTATCAAGTTTTTCAGATGGCTAAACACTTTTTCATAACACTTTCTCAGAAACACAAATGAATGCCCAAATATAGTCTCAATGGGTAAAGTTGGTTGGTGCCAAACCTGATGATCTAATTCAGTTACTGCGAGACCTGTATTACTCTAACAAGTGTTTCTCTCATGTCCATATTTCGGCTCTGGCATATCCACACTTGCATGCGAGCACATACATAAGTAACAGTTAAACACGAATAAGGGCCAGACAGATAATTTTCAGCTGAACTTGAATGTCTGGGTTTCATCTGTAGAACTTACATAGAAGAATTAGGTATTTGACACCAGTAACATTTCCCCTGACTGCCATATACACTCCATGAAATAAATGTCTACACACAGTTAAAACTAAAAAAAAAAAAAAAAAAAAAAAATGAGATTAACAAAGCAAAAAATCCAAAATATTGAGAACATAGGAAATAGTTTACCAGTTGAAATCTATAAATTGTTGAATTTCAAGAAGTGTTACTTTTCTTCAAAAAAGTCATGGTTCTTGTTTAAATTTTACGTTATCCTTTCATTTTCTGATTCAAAGATAGGCCATTTCGAAAACATCACAGCTGGGCATAGTGGCATGCCTGTAGTCTCCCCACTTGTGGACCAGTGGCAGGAAGATCTCTCTGAGTTTTAGGCCAGCTTGGTCCACATAGTGAGTTTGAGAACATCCATGGCTATGCAGAGAAATTCTGTCTCAAACCTCCTCTCCCCTCAAAAAATAATTTATGGAAGTTTTCCTAATACAATATAGGTGGCCTCAACTCTAATCAATAAAGAGTTTTGGTGGCTTTACCGACTTCTGGAGATCTGTGTTAGCAATTAAAGTATGAGGCAAAGGGGAGAGTTCATTTTCAGAGAGGTAGAAATCGCTTGAATCTGAGGCTTTCTTCACTTTCACGTGATAGAAGATGAAAGGGGTAATGAATTATCTTCATTTCTGCACTATGATGACACATTTGGGAACTGCAGAGTTTTCTCAAGTGTACTGATGTTGTTGTATGCCCAAGTTTGGTTCCCTGCATCCACATCTGTTGGCTCAGAACTACACATAATTCCAGATCCAGGAAATCTGATGCATTCTTCTGGCTTCCTTGGGTACAAGATATACAAATGGTGTAGAGACATACATGTAACACCATATTGTGAAAAGGGTTTTTTATGTGTGTATGTGTGTGTATATACCTAACTGTACATATGTAGGATGCATATATATATATATATATACACATATACATCCTACATATATATGTATGTACATTCAAGTCACTGCAAGACTGGCCCTATCTTCTCCCAATGACTGTAGACCAGGTAGTCCATTTAAGTGTGCATGATTTACAATCAGGTTGGCTAAGGAGCACCCCTGCTCCAAATGTTGGGGTACTAACATGAAGACCAAGCTACACATCTGCTACATGTGTACAAGGGCCTAGGTTCAGTCTGTGCTCCCTCTTTGGTTGATAATTCATTCTCAGGGAGCCCCCAAATTAGTTGACTCTGTTGGTCTCCTGTGGAGTCTCTTTCAAAAGGGAACCTGGGATAAATGACTGCATTGATATTTAAATAAAAGGATGTGCCTAGGATTGTGGGGTCTGAGCTATCTGGATGAACTGTTTAGGGATCTCCAGAGAAGGCTGTCATAATCAGAGAACATTTGGAATGCTCTCTCGAGCAGAACATGGTAACATAAAGCCGGATACACTCAGTCTGATAGAAGAAGAAGTAGGGAATGGCCTCAAATGCATTGTCACAGGCAGTAGCTTCCTCAACAGAACACCAAGAGCTTAGTCATTAAGAACAACAATGAAAAAATAGGACTTCATGAAACTGAAAATCTTCTGTAAGAAAAAGGAAACCGTCAAAAGGACAAAATGGCACCCTACAGAAAGAAAAGATTTTCACCAATTCCACATTTCCCAGAAGGCTGAGATCCAAAATATGTAAACAACTCAAGAAAGTAGATGTCAACAAACCAAATAACCCAATTAAAAATTGGGTACAGATCTAAAGAGAATTCTCAACACAGAAATCTCTAATGACATACAAGCACTTAATGAAATAGTCATGAGGGAACTGCAAATCAAAATGACTCTGAGATTCCATCTTACTCCCGTCAGAATGGCTAAGATTAAAAACTCAAGCAACAGCTCATCCTGGGACAGATCTGGAGGAAGGGGAACACTCTTCCATTGCTGGTGGCTGGGA